GGGGTTGAAAGAGGGTGGTGTATGGATTCTATCCCTAGAACTGCAAAAAAGCAATAGGGAAAGGGAGGGAGGAAGCTTCTCCTGGAGTCCGGTGGCAGAACTTGGCTAGCCACCAGTGATGGCTTCTGCTGGTGGAGCTACAGGCCACTGGAACTTGATTGGGAGTCAAACTTGAGTGGTGGAGGAGTTACAGTGAGAGTTAGAGCTTCATTGATTCAACAGGGAAGAATAAATCTGTCCCACCTCGCCCCCTCCCAAGGATAACTGGGGTAGTGCCAAGGCTTACAGTACGATTGGGATCTGTGTAAAGGGCCTTCTGCCTTTGGGGTGCAGGTGGGCTGGTTGAGGAAAGTTCTTCCCATCAGCCTTGGTACCAGAAATGTTGATTGTCCTGAAGGACCCGCACCTCTCTGCCTCCACGAATCACTGCACCCTGTGCCCATGGCAGGGCGCCCCCTGGTAGGCTACCCACTAGGACAGCCACCTCGCGTGCTGCTGCAAAGCTGTGGGCCGAGCCCCGCAGTAGAGCGATTGTGTGCAAGGCCCCAGGCTCCCATCCCCAGCTCTGCTCTCTGAACAAAGGAGACACAATGTAGGATGGGTTTTCTTTTCTACAACTCAGGAACAGGAAAGGAGTGGTGGGAACTGGGTCTCTCAACACATTTCTGCCTTGGGCTGATCTTCTTTTCACTGTCCAAAGGGAAAACGAGTGGATGAAAACCCCAGCCTGGGAGCCGTGAAGCTGCAGGAGGCCCCCTCGGCCCCCTCCCAGATGAAGCGGACCGGAGCGATCAAGCCTCGGGCTGTCAAGGTGGAGGAGAGTAAAGCCTGAAGGTGCCCGGTGCCCTTGCCTCCCCCCTTGGGGATGCCGCCGCCTGGCCTGGATAGACACGCTTGGGACCTCACGGGACCACGGTTCACCCACCTGGCCTGGACTGAGAGCTCTCCTCTCCTCCACTCCAAAAGCTCCGTCGTCAGCCAGCTCGCACTGTGGATACATGGCATTGACCTGCTTGCTTTGATTCAAAACAAAAGAGCAATGTCCCCCCGCCCCCAGTGACTGGAGTGAGTCGCCTTCGTGCAGTGCAGACCCGCCCACCCACCCGCCTGCCCCTCCCCCGGTACAGTGGCTTGGCAGCAGGGTCATTTTAGCCGAAGGCTTTTTGTTTTAAGCAGCAGCTAAGGTTTTTACAAAGGGGAAAAGAAAACAAATGCCAGCTACATCTGTATAGCTGAACTTTTCTATGTTCCTTGCTCTCCTCTCCCTGTCCCCCTGCTGTCCCAGTGATCTCCTTTTACATTCGTCCTGTTTGACACATCACTGAGAGACCTTAAGAGACGACTCTTAAGGATGTGCCCCTGCCCCTGGTTGGTGAGCCTTTGGGGTTCTAAGGACATGATCACGAGTGCTCTGCTTGTCCGTGTGGAAAGGTGAGCGGAGGGTAGGTAGATGGTGTCTTGGTGGGGCCACAGCCCCCAGCCTGAGGTTGATGACACTCTTAACTGCTAACTGCCGAGTCCTGGAGATGAATGGTAGCGCTACTGTCAGTGTCCTTCAGGTTGGTTGGGAAGGTGCGTGGGGACACCCGCAGGCCACAGAACTGTGCCGTTCTTCCGGGGCCCCACACCTTGCCCCGCGAGGCTGCTGTTCCGACTCACTTCCTTCCAGCCCCTCAGCATCTCCACCTCCCCAACCCTCATGGCTCATCAGAGAAGCCATTGACAGACACATGGACACTCCCTGGCTCTCTGAACAGAGGCAGTGCTCCCTAAGGCAGGTGGCAGGAGACTCGCCTCTCCCTCTTGTTGCTGTCTCCCCACAGTAGCCCCAGGAAGCCGGGGTGCAGGGAGCAGGGCAGCAGGCCAGACCTCCATGGCTTGTCCATACCAGTGAGCAAGGTCTGAGCCTTGGCGGCTTTCCTTACAAGCCAGCCACTCTAAAAGGTTTCTGTGGGCCACAGTTTGGTAGGCTTCTGGCTTTTTAATAAATGGGAAGAAATCATCCCTAACTCCATCATTCCAAGGAAAGATGACAGGAATTTCAGTTTCTCACAAGCTCTTTGGGGTCCTTTACATCCTCCAGCCCGTGGGAGCTGCCTGCCCCCCACCCCGCCATGGTCCCAGAGATCTGCCTCCAAGCAAGGATACAGGCTAGGACACACCTGCCCTGGCTGTGCGGCACTGTCACATGCAGTCTACAAACCCTGAGCTCCGAGCTGCCTGATGCAGTCGGGGAAGAAGCGCCTGTGGTCTGCGCGCAGGTGGTTGCAGCGTCCCTCAGCACAGCGCCATTCCTCATTCCTGTTGGCCTCTGGCCAGGACAGTCCCGCAGAAAGGCCTTCCTGCCTCTCTCTAGCTCTCAGCCCCTCCCCCTGGGCCTCCACCCCTCTAGCTTGTCGCCTTTTCTTCATCTCGTAAGTCTTGCCCTGCTCGAAGGGCTGCCCATGTAGTTTCCAGCCTGTGTCTCGAGTCATTGCCAAGCCATCTCCAGATGAGTGGATCAGCCACAGACTGAGCCACACGCAGTCCCACTGTCGCCTCCACCCGTCCTCACAGCCACGCCTGCCCACTTAACACTGGCGCACAGGTGTCAAGAGAACAAAGTTTTCTTGTGAAATTGAACAGAACAGGCCCGGACGCTGTTATAAATGCAAGATGTACCTTCAGGTGAGCCTGCCCTCATCAGTTGACAGTACTTCCGAGAAACAAACTAAAGGTCACCTGTTCTCATCCCTCTCTCCCTGTACTTCTCTTCCCCCCTCCAAATAAAAAGAAAACACTAGAATTTATTTATATGTATTGATGTTGTAGGTCTAGGTGAAGAAGTAAATGTTCCACTGTTCTATTTATATATAATGTCTGAATTACTCTGCAGGAAAGGCCGGGAAATTGCATGTCAAGGTTGGTAAGTGCACCACCTGTGTGACCTCAGCTTCGGGCTCCTGTCCTCTGAGATGCACAGGAGGACAGAGGGCAGGCCTCCGGCCTCCTGACACCCCACCCTTTCCATGGACTATTTTTAGTGCAGAGACATTTTAAGGTGCAATATCTCTTCATGTGATTTTTAGAGCCAAGCTCAAGATAACAGAACTTGGGGTGTTAGTTTGGTTTCAAACCCACATCAGCAGACTGCAAGTCCGTGTAGGAGCTTCCGTTGGCATGCCCAGCCCTCGCAGCCAGCAACAGATGATGGCCAGGCCCGCCCTTCAGAGGTGGAGGGTGGAGACAGGCTCATTATCACCTCTGTCTTGGCAGTGTGGCTCCCGGCCTGGCACAGAGACTGCAGTGGTGGCAGCCCTTCCCAGGACCGCTCAGTGGAATGAAGCTCCCTGTGGGACGATGGGAACGGAGCATCGGCTCACTGATCCTCTGCCAGCCCTTCCTCTCCCCATCTGCTTTCTCAGCAGTTGCTTTCTCTGTTTCATTTGCATTATTGTTTTCAAACTTGGAATTCATAGAACACATCTGGCCGAGGTCCCTAAAGGGGGAATCTAAGGTGGTTTGTGACAGGTGGAGAAAGGCTGGATCCACCCCACGGCCATGGTCACATCCTTGGGATGTTGGGTTAACTTGGTACATACTGACACTGCCCTTCTATCTTCTGGATCTGCCTTTCAGTTTGTGGCTGGTGTGCAGCCCATGTGGCTGGTGCGCGGCCTGTGGTGGGCTGGCCTGAGACTCTGCATGGCAACTGGGGATAAGTCCCGCCCCCGTCATCCACTGGCTTCCCTCTGCCCAGTACCTGCATGTTGCCTTGCCAATTTTTTTTTTTCTGTCCCTTTTCACTTCTTGCAGAGCTAGCCAGGGTTAGAGGGTCTGCTGGGACTGGCCTTTGACAACTGTGGATAGTGGAGTGTGTGTGTGCTGTCGTGTTCTGTGACGAAGGGGGTTGGGGGGGGGGTACAGACTTCCAGGAAGCCAGCTATCCTCAGAATGAGGTGGACCCAAGGGACAGGAGGGGCTCAGTCTTGGTGACCACCACCGTTACCCACCCATGTTCTCCACCAGGGCCACCAGCATAGATCTGGGGAGTGACCTTCAAGTGTTGGAGAGCCACAGTTCACTGTTTTCCACCCGGTTTGGTGGCTTCCAGGATGGTCACAGCACTTGCAGCTTCTGAGTGGCAATTCCGAGGGCCGCGCAGGGCGAGGGCTGTCACTGTGCAACGTGCACCTGTACCTAAGCTTTTGGGCCTAATCCCTCGTGTAGTAAAAAGGATTTGGGTGGTTTGTTTTTGAGAAACTTATGTTTTTGTTTTCGTTTCTTTTTGCTTTTATTTTGGCCTATCCTCTCTTTGTCTCTTCATGTAGACCAGGTATTTGAAAGGGCAGACGATGGCTAAAGGTGTACTGTGCAGCTTGTTGATATGTGATTATCGGAGAAACTGATACCTCGGATGGGAAATGGAATTGTGGGTTCACCCTCCCTTCCCTCCAGTTCAGAACCTGTTGTTTCTCCTTTCAAATATGTGATTGTACTAGCTCTTTCCATATGAAAGAACTCTTCCTTATTTAAATAAAAAAAGTTTAAAAATAAAGCCGAGCGTGCTTTCTCCGGTTGCCTGTCCCTGTTTCTGGGCCATGTGATTGGAGAGGCCTGGAGTTGGAGTGAACTGGGCCGGGGTCCAGGCGGGGCGCGGCGAGGGCGGGGAGCAGGGCGGCCCGGGCCGCTCGGCGAGGGCCTCGGGGCTCCGGACTCGGGGTGGGGTCGCAGCACGGGGCCTGCTGGCCGCCAAGGAAACCGTCACCCCGCCCTCTGGGAGAGCCACCGCGAAGTCCTCGCCTGCGGAGGCTGGCAGCGAGGAGCGGAGCGGGGGCGCCGGGCTCTGCCTTTCCCGCGCTTCAAACCTGCCTGACCGGCTGCGCACGCGCTCACCTACACAGACATACTGCGCGTGCGTGCCGCTGCCTGCCCGCCCCCCTACTGCACACGCGCGCCGTCGCAACCCGCCGGCGCAGTTAGTCGAGTGTCGATCGGTGAGCAGTGCGAAGCGCCGAGCGCGGAGCGCATCGCGCGCACCCGCCATCCTTCCCGCCGGTGCCTGGCTAACCCGGCGCCGGAGCCACTCTGCGGGACTCGGAGAGCGCGAGTAAGTGTGGGGCGCCGAGGCCGGGCGGACGGGACGCGGGGCGCTGCTCCGGGGAGAGCCGGAGGGCTGGGGGCGACGGCAGGCCGGGGCTCGGGTCTGGAAGGGAGCCCTAGGAGGGCCTGCGGGCGCGGGGGAGAAAAGGAGCCGCGAGCTGCGGGACGGCGAGACCTGGGGGCGCCGGGGTGTC